CCTTGCCCAGCCATTTTTTGATTATTTGCATCAGAGTAAGTTCCACTCCATGATGCCGCTCTTGTGCGAGAGAAAGGACCATTAATGCTTTGTGGTGTGGATGTTTTGTTTGTTAATGGGGTAATATTGTCCATGCTTGGGAACCGTTGCAATGATGATGGTGATTGTGATGATGATGAGGGTAAAGAGAATGATGCATCATTTGATACAGATGAAGAAGGATCATTCGCCTTGGTGGGTTCTTGGATTGTTTCTCCCAATGAATCAATTTTCTGGTCATCCAAAGGTGCAGGTGCCACAGGCATAAAGAACTTGGCACCAATTGCTGGCTTCACATATGGAGCAGCGGGTGACTGGAAAGAATTTGTTAAAGCCCCACCACCACCACCACCAACATTACCCTTATTGAAGGTATCAACATATCTGAATGAATACAAATGCAATAGCAGAAAGTCATTTCCTAGAGTCAAATGCACATAATCATGAATCTATATATGATCAATTTGTACCTTGAACGAACCCCCATTCTTGCACGAGCTGAGAATTGATTTTGGCTGGGAGGTATAGGTGGAATCCCTGAGCTATTTTCTGAGGGAATAGGTGGAATACCCGGGGCTTTTGTTTCTGGTACTCCATTAGAAACTGGACTAGGGTTCTTGAGGGCGCTATTTATGTTGTACTCTGACGTGCCATTTTGGAATGCTGGCATTGTTGGGGGTGGAGGTAATGAAGCTTCCTCTGCTGGACATTCAGCACCTTCCTCCACCCATCTCTTAAGTTTTTCATCATAATAGAATTTGTTGCTTTCACCCAGCTTTGCCTGACGGCATAATAATTAATAGGTAAAGAAAACAAGGAAAAAGAATTAGTTGTAAGTAACATCGAAATATTGTGATAAAAATACCTGACGATCTGAACGGGACCTTGAAACCCAACCCATGGTTTTCTGGAGAAGTGATGAGCCAATGCGCCCAAACCTTGAAGGTGCTCCTGATGCTTTACTTTGCCCGTCTGCATCCTGTGATGAATTCTGAATGAAGTCAGCAAGCAATTTACAAGGTTTTCTGTTGCAGAGACTTGGAAATAATTATGAGATCCAAATGAAATAAAAGTAACAATAAGATCTAAGTTCAAAAAGTAAGTTCAGAAAACAACAACATCATCAACACGACCAATGTAGAAAGAGAAAAAAAACCCGTTTTGAAAACCATTGTAACCCGTTTCAACAACTAACAAAGCCAAGTGTTATAAAACTCAGGCCAAGAAATGATCAGATTTGGACGCATGGCAATATCTCCACTGTCCAAATCAGTATCACGCTAACCGAAATAAGTTCCCAATTAAATCCTCTGACTCCAATTTCATTGCGTGAAAAAACCCTAGCGTTGCCCCAACCCCATCTCCAGCGCCTACCTCATCTCTTTCCCCTCCACCTCCTCCTCTCACTCTTGCGACGAACCACTCGATCTCTTCTTGCTCTCGCGCCTTCGACGAAGACAAAGCCTCTTGCCATTGATAAGGCTCTTCTCGTCCTCGTCTACCTATCTCCACCAAAAACAAGGCTTCTCTCTGGTTCCTCCTTAAACCAACAAAGAAAATCATAACCCCATCTCTACCTCCAACACCTCTCCAAACTTCTAAATCCTAACCCCTTTTGACGAAGATGAAGCCTTCCACATCTTCATGTTTGAAAATTTTGATGATTTTTAATCATTAAAGCCATTACGGATAGTCTGTACTTATGAAATATCTAAATAACCCACGTTATGCATAACATTTTTGTGTTTCTTTTCTTCTAACCCTTAACAGAACCCTTAACAGAAGGTAGAGCATAACGTTATGCGTTATCATTATTTTCAACATTGAACAAAACCTTATCCCTAGTTATTGGATTGGCTTGAGTAATCCCTTTTCTATCTTCTGCTCCGTTGTGACATCTCATATGTTAAATTAACATCCACCACAGATCCAGGAGACAAATGCGACAGATACTTTTTATCTAAATTACATAAAAATAAAAGTAACCTGTTTCGGGGTTCTCCCAAAATCTGGCTCTGATATGCTTCTGTTGTGCATAGATTTCCTAGCGCTGTCACCTGCCCATTCGCTTATAGACTCCACTGATTGTGATGGCATTAATGATGACATTGCCATTGTTGACTGACTACTTGATACTTTGGGGGACATAGAAAAGTTATCTTTACTGTTTGGAGGACTACTTTGAGGCATTGGCGGAAGGGGTACTGGTGGTGCACCAATCATGCGATGAATTGATCTATCAATAGAGGTGAATAATTTACCCACAAGTTTTCCAGGGGCCAAGTTTGAGCTGTATCCACCCTGAAGAAGAAAAGAGGATAATAAATTTGAAGATAACACAGTGAAATTAGAGAGATAAGAACATAACTGTGGCACATATAATACAGTAATACCTGCTGGTGTGTTCGTAATCTCTCCTCCAAGGATGACAATAAATTTTTCCACATTTCTACTTCAGGCACACGGTTAGAATTTTTCAGTAACTTCAATGATGACTGACAATATCTGAATTAACAATGATATAAAAAAATTAGGGAGAAATTATTGCAAGAGAAGGAAAGCAAATCTATCACTCACTTCAATGATTCTGGAACTTTCCCCACTTCAGCAAGCATGTATGCATATATTAACTTATACGGCTGGAAAGGCAGCAGGACAAACTGGGAATTTCCAAGTACCTTTGAATACTCGTATACTTCTGTCCTCTGTGAAGGTTATTTTCAAGGATTAATCAGTATAGGAATCTATTACAATAACTCATCAATAGTAAGAGCTTCCCAGCCAAAGACACATGTAACTTGAAACATGAAAATTGGAATGATTTTTAGACTGAAAGATAAGTGGGACCAGAAAGATAACCATTAAGTTACACAAGTAAGAAGCAAGCTGCGAGCGTTCACAATTCCAAAAGGTTAGTTATATGTCCAAAGGGGTAAGATATAACGCTTGGTTACAACACATCCACGCCCCTTATAAACTCTGCATGTACTGATTAATACAAAGAGCAACCCACAGGTCCATATTAGAATGATTATTAACCTAGCTAGTAATCATGATAGAAATGTGCTGGTAAGCAAAGTAGAATGATCATTAACCTGATAGCAGGAGCAAGGTTTTAAATATCGGTTATCAGGGATTTATCGGATGGTCAAAATCCTTATCGGATAGCGGAAATCGGGGATATATCGGGGATAAGTAGTATTTATCGGAGTGATATACTGGATGATGTGTATATATAATATAACAATTAAAATCTAATCATGCTTAATGAAATATAAACATACCAAAATGTAAATCATCATGTTTAGAATCACTAACAAATTGTAGAAAGCGAAACTTGCATCATAGCCTTGAAAAAATATAATGTTAGTCAAAATGGGCCGATAATCCCGATAATCCCGATAAAAAAGTCTTACTTATCGGCCGATAAGTGCCGATAACGCCGATAAACCTACAAAAACGATAACCGATTAAAAATCCAATTTATCCTAGCGGAGAGCTCCCAAATCCGATAACTCGGCCGATAATATCGATTATCGGCCGATATTTAAAACAGTGAGCAGGAGATAACACGTGTGCACACGTGCACACACACAAACCCAACACCTATACACACACACACACAAATCCAACATCTAAATGCACATGCACGCACGTATGGGTGGTAAACGATTGAATCAAATCGAATACTAAGATGTTCGTATTTGTATTCGTTTAAAATTATTGAATTCAAACCCGAAGTCAAATATCTACATCTGGAGTTTCTCGAATTCGAACTCGGACTTGAATACTCGGTATTTGTTAAATATTCACGAATATTTATCCAATATCAAAGTATATTCATTATGCTAAAGAATTTGGTTTGCAAATAGTGTTTAAATTGATAAATGAAAAGTATTCCTTTAATATGATGTATGTATATTTAATTCAAATATTTCATTATAAAACTGATAGTAAGATTCTTCAAGTCTCTCAAAATTAGTATATAGTACTTAAGTAGAATACATAAGTGGGTTGAAAATATAACATCATATTCGTAATAATTCAAATTATACGCAATCAAAATTTAAACAACTATTTAATAAGCAAACGAATCAAATATACAACTAGTTAAATTCTATTTGTTAATGAACTTGAACACTAAATATTACTTGTTTAGTGTTAAATGAACTACCAAATCGAATATGACCGAAGAGTTATTCGAATAATTAAGAAACTTGTTAATTATTTTTTGTTCGTTTCCACCCCTACACACACGCATACACACACATGAGAGGGAGAAACAGATTTATGACCGTATTCTTTTTTAGAATTAAAGCTTTGAAAAGCAAAATGTGTAGGACCTGAATAGCTTCAGGGTCTGCATATGTTACGGATTTGTGACTGTAATCTTTTTGAGAATTGAAACTTTGAAAAGCAAAATGTGTTGAACCTGAATAGCTTCAGGGCTTGCATATGTTCGAGGACTCTTCCAGTGGTCTGCACCAATTAAGCAAAGCCTTGCACTGTCAGAGTATGATTCAAAATTTGCTTCTGCGACCAAGTAGCAGGTATGGGCAGCAATAATCTGTATCAAAAAGCATCATTTAAGCGTATCATATCTAGAGATGGCCCTACATTGTAAGTAAGATAAATACAAACCTCTCCTCTCTCTTTTAAGAGACAATCTCCAAGATGAATTATAACAAGTTCATCATCCTTTGTTTTGTTTGCAGTTATTATCGCCAGGTTCTCTTCCCAGCCATCCAACATGCCATTGCCCAAAACCTATATACCATTTACAAATCAAAATGAGATTTATTGCACAGAAGAGTAAAAATTGTTTGAAGCATCACGAGGAAACAGGAAAATCACAATAAGGTAAGATATTTCTAAAGATTATGGGAGCAATAACAGCTCAACATAAAGACACATTTGAGAAAAGTTCTAAAACAAATATTGTTCTTGATGACATAGGTTGCATGGGTACGGGTACCGGTACTGGACCCGGCAAAATTGGAAAAGGTAGGGTACAGGGACACGGCTATATATATGCATGTTATGTATATTTATATGTATTGAAATTAATAATTTACATAAGATCAATAGTTTTTTCATTTACATAAGATCAGTATATAAGAAATAGATGTGAAGTGTAGAATATACATCCAAGAAGTCTACGAGGAGTGTTTTATATTAAAACATGTATTATATAATTGAGTATAGGCCCGAATAAACATATGCATATATTCAAGTAGTGTCCAAAAGGTACGGGTACGGGTATGGGTACGCGTACGGTTTCCTAATATGAGCACTCAGGTAAAATAGATTGATATTGACAAGAAAACTCAGAATATCATTTGAGCTGTAGTTTTTGGCACAAAGAGCACTGCGGAACAGGTTTATAATTTGAGGTTATTATTGAATTTGAATGGAAGGGCTTTTTATCCCAATCCTTCTGGATTAGATTAGTTCTTTTTTCTCCTATGTTCCTTTTCCCCCCAATATGTATAGATACATGTATGGTGTATCAAGGCATGGAGGCATGCACACATGGATGTACAAGTAAATCAGATTGATGGAGGCGTGCATGCATGTAAAAGTAAATCAGAATTATTATTTGGATATCATGTTATCGGAACCTCAGTTAATGTCTAACTAGGGAAAAGGATCATATCTGACTGCAAAATTGCAACCTTGAATGATTATCAATTAGCCATAAAACGGATGGTGCAAGTAGGAATTTGGTTAGATCAATTGCCTAGGATACCTAAACACATCAAAACTGACACGCAAGGGCTTCCAAGTTTTTAGATCATTGGTTCTAATTCTATGTCCCAAACTGTACATCTATAAAACTTGATGCTTTCAGACATTCCTTTCATTGCCACATGATGCACACAGAGCAAGCAAAAACAAAGTTCACTTCATATTTTTATCTTTAGATCAAGATAAGTGGAGCTTGTCAGTTGAATTGCCTATATATCACATTGAGTGGAAAGGATTTGCTCTCCTTGCCTGTGCGTGCAAACAAAAGCTGCAACTAGTAGTTTGAGAAGGAACTGTCAAGTTACTAGTACATGGATCACCTGGCTTGGTCCATGAGGTCCATTTGCAGCACCAGAGAAGCTGCTGGCAGGTTTCTCAGCAGAAAATACATCTGCAGGTTGTCCAGCAATAAGTAGGCATAATGTTCGCAAAGGTGAGCCGGAGACAAACTGGCGTTGTGCCATTTTCTTCACCGTGTCAACATAAAACTGCATTTGATCACCAGAATCAAATGGAGGCGAGAAAAAAAAATATTCTTGCAAATGGAAACTCATAAGTTATATTTGGAGGCTCGTTTAACAGCAAAAGAACCATAAAGACACAGGAGGCAAAACAGGAAACACGAAAAGAGGGCACAACCTTCTCTCCAAGCTGTGCTGCTAGAACAAGAGCAGGACCCCACAGCTGACCTTCTTGTGCATATTGGAGAGCCTCTTTTCTTCTACCAGAGACAAGAAGGTTCTGAACTTCAATTGCAGTTGCCTATCCGAGTGGAACATGTGTTAATCAACCAAAGAAATTTTGTGAAATCAATATGAAAGATAAGTATGCAATGACAAAAAAGAATACCTGAATCTGTCCTTCTGAAGGAAAATTATGCATACAATGAGCCAGTGAACCAAATTCTGTCAAACGAGTACCATTATTTCTAGCAGATGCAAAGAGTTTGGTCACTGCTGACTCTGGACCATCGATCTCCTGTGATGGGAAAAGAGAAGACTCTGGTTTAAAGAAACAACCTAAGAATATAAATTTCTACATGAAGAGCGTGAATCAAATTAACCAAGTTGCACAGTAAGAGGATTATGAATAAAAAAATCCTGGAAGAAACAAAAAATAATTGAGGTAAGAAGCAAGCATGAAATTAGTCAGTTTACGGCATCCAATGCATTAACACCAAAGACAGTATTGAAGAAGAAACATTAGAAAGAGTTATGAACAAGAAGATACCAAAAGAGATGTCTAGAAAAACAAACTTCTAAAAACATTTGGATAGAAACGTAGATAACAGTAAGATGACAAGGAAATTAAAAAGAGAGTAATTGCCTGGTACCTCCTGTGATGGATCAGCAACAAAAGGAGATCGAAGTTTCCCATAATGCTGACACATTATTTTCAGCAGTGAAAAGAGCAATTTTAGATATTCTCCTTTCTGGAAGTCTGTGCTGGCAGATTCGCATTTACCGATCTTCTCATCTATCCATTTATTTACATCCTTTGCAGCAGCGCTCCCACCTACAAGAGGGCCAGGAAAGGAAGTATGGCATAAAGCTTGGAAGTAACAATGGCTGCTGCTATTAGTGATGCCTGACGAATCATCTTTGACTGACACAACTTCTGATAAGTTAAGAACCGAGATTGCATTGCTGGCGCTTTCCTAAATGCATTTGAAAAAGATAATAATTTCAGTTGCCACTTAGTAAATACCAACTTCTATGGTTTCTAAAACAAACAAAGAGTGCACTTTCCAAATTCGAGATATGAAAGTTTACCTGACTTCCATAATCCAAATGAGCACCAAGCAAGCTGTTATTTTTCATGACTATGAGTTTTCCACCAAACCCAAAAGCAACCAGAGCATGCGGAGGGCGCCCATCTGACGATCTACCATCAGTGGGAGTATAAGAGAAATTTGAGTAAGATGCATTTGCAACCTCGAATGAAGATTGAGGGGCATTTACTGTGCTTTGATCCCCATAAAAGCTATTTTCCAAATGTGCCTGCAGGGTCTGTTCCACCTTTGGTTGACTAAATTTAAATGTGTTTTCTTTTGGAGTAAAGCTCTGAAATCCAGCAGTGGAATTTTTACTGCCATGGTTTAGGCTTGCAACAGGTTCAAAGACCTTAAAACCAGTTCCTTGAGTCGTCTGGTTTCCTGGAATTGAACTAAAAGAGCTCCCAGTTTGCTGATTCCCAGAGAAACCTGCAGTATGTGCACTCATATCAACTGATTGAGGTTGCCACATGTTTTGTTGAGTAAAAGAACTCCTAGATGTATCCCAACTCCCTCCAAATCCTCGATTAAACTGACCTTGACTGGCCTGCAGCTCATCGTGGCTGATACTACTACTGTACAGACTGTTTTGTTGAGCATAATTACTCATCGACGCATCCCAAGTCTGTCCAAAATCTTGGCTACCCTGGCTTTGAGCAGTACAATGTACGGATGAATTGCTATTACTCATGGGCATGTTCCAATTTTGTCCAAATTCTTGGCTACTCCAACCTTTTCTGGTTGTTTGCTCAGATTGGCTGCTGTTAGTGTTGCTTTGGTTGTAGTTGCTCAACGATGCATCCCACGTCTGTCCAAAGACTTTGCTACCTTCGCTTTGGGTGGTATATGCTGCAGACTGGCTGAGATTACTATATACACTGTTCTGCCCGGCATAAACACCCGCTGTTGCATCCCAAGCCTGTTCAAATTCTTGACTACCATTGCCCTGAATGCCATGCTGTTCAGATTGTGCAAAGTTACTATATGAACCCTGGTTCTGATCAGAGCTGATACCTGCTAAAGCATTCATCTCCTTTGGCAAAAGGTCCTGAGTAGAATTTGAAATATTTGCTAATCTCTGAGTATATGACTCAAGAGCGTGCCATTGTTGGGTGTTTGTATCATAGTACCATTCTGGATACTGAGGATCAAACACCATATTGGGTGGGTAATCCATGCTCCCTTGAGAAGCATTATTCCAATTGCTAACACTACTCGCTGTACACTCCTCGGCTATAGTCTCCAATACAGGCTGAGAAGTTTGCTGCAGATAAGATACACCTACACTCTCAGAAACAGATGCAACATTAGCCACATTTGTATTATCCAATTGAGGATCTGCCGCAGCATCATAACTATCCACTTGATACCACTGCCCAGTACTGGAATCAAACTTCCAACCAGGGTAAAGGTTTTCCCAGCACTGAGGATCATTCTCATTGACAGTTTGTTCATTAGTAGAACCATAAAACTGAGCATCTTGTTGCTCAGTGGAACCTACATTAGAGATAAAATTCTCGAGTGGCTTCTCAACCAACCCATCTGAATTCTCTGTCAAAAAATCCGAATAGGCGTCGAACCCACTAGCCTTCTCGAATTCCTGGGAGCTACCAACGCTGAAAGCACTCCACTGGACCTCTTTCACACTAGTACTTTTAGAGCTATCACTCTTGACAGTGGTCAAACCATGTGAATCAACATTATCGGAATCAAACGAACCCAAGGACTCTAAGGGTACACTTTCATCCAAAACAACAAGGCCCTTCTGTGGAGCCTCCTCCGGCTTCAAATCATTATCTTTTCCAGTGCTTTCAACTTTCTTATCAGTTTCGGGCTCCACAGAATCATCTGAAGAAGCAATAACGTCACCAATGCTTAGATTCGAGAAAACCCTAGTCATTTCCTCAGGTTTTGATTGAGATCCATCAAATTCATCATCAACAAGCTTATCAAAGAAATCCTCATCCGTCTGGTCCTCAAATTGGAAGTTAGAAGTGGAAGATGCCATGTGATCCCCAAATACCTAAAACCTAAATTCTTCACAGAAATCTATAGAGAGCACGGATTCCTTCCAGATCCGATCGAAAACCCAAGCTCATCCGCTAAATTTTAGGTTTCCTGTTAAAATTGGGAATTTAGAAACCCCAAAAGTATGAGATCTATTGTTTACGATGCGAAAATGAGGGAAAATAAAGGGGAATTTGTAAAAAAAAAAATTGGAAATTTGAGGGGATTGAAGACTTACCGAGCGCGGATCCGAGAGGCAATCATACTCGAAGGGGAATTGAAGCCCTAAATCTCGTATCAAATCGAGATCGAATCGCCCATTGAAGAAAGCCCTTAGGGTTTATTTTCTCTCCCTTGGATTTCTTTTTGTCTCTTTCTCTCTCTCTAAAAACTCCCGTCTGTTTTTGTTACAGATGGTAGACGAGAAAAAAATTGACGAACCTGGCTCGTGGATGGAGGGGTAAAATTGTAATAATAAAAAATGTTGAGGATCTTTGTAAATGCTGAAATTAGACTACAGCTTGACGAAAGGGATTTTGTTCTTTTATGTGAACTGGATAGAGGATTTTTTTTTTTTTCAATTAAGATTTAAGGAATAAGTTGATCATGTACTTAGTTACATGATTCGTTCACAAGGGGAAAAGGAGAAAAATTATTTATTTGACATGGGATTGACAATGGTTTGAGAATGGACAAATTTTCAAAATCAACAAATTTCAAAATTTAAATAGCAAAACCGATCTCTTTGAAATTTAAATAGCAAAACCGACCCTTTTCTTTTGAAAAGGGTCGGTTTTGCTGCTGAATGATTTTTAGGACATACACGGGACTGCTAGTCCCGTGTATTTCGTGGCAGTTTCGATTAATACGGGACTAGCAGTCCCGTGCGATCGGTGGTAAAAAAAGACCCGTGACTTCATCTTTGACCGCACTCCTTTTCACCCAAACTCATTCACCCCTCCTCTTTCACCCGCTCCTCAAACCCAGCGGCTTCCTCCACTGCCGCCACCAAGCCCTCCGACCAGCGCCCTCCACCACCGCCTCGCCGGCCAAGTATCGCTCCGACTCACCGCCGGCAAGTTCGCTCTGACAAGTAAATGTGCGTTTTTTTATAGATGAAATTTCGTATTGGGATGACTTTGGGTTGCGATTGAATTAGTTGAGGGATTATTGAATGGATTTTAGCTTGAGATTAGGATTAAGGTTGAAATTGTGAAGTATATATTAGGTTAGACAGATTAGGGTTAACATGAATAATCTGATTTCAATTAGGGTTAACCATAATTAGGTAACATATAATGTTATTGGGATAGTAATTTGACAATTATTCTTGGTATTTAGATTGGTTTTAAAATTTGACATTAATATTAAGATTAATATTTACATTATAAAATTATTTAACAATGATGGACTTTGATTCTAGCTTCATTGCAAACTCTATACCCATTATTTGCCTCTTCAGGCATCGGCGTCGGATGAATAGATATCCCGATGTATAGAGTTCGAGAAAATTCATTATGCCATCCATAGTCATTAAATTTTTGCTGAGTGGAACGATAATGAATCACACAGTCAGTTACGAAAATTATAAACCATGGTATGCAATTAAAATTTCTTCAATGTCCATAAATGAGAGTAGAACTATTCCGTCGATACGATGATAGTATGAAATATTAAACAATTAGGAGAAGCAA